CAGAGTTACGTCAAATCTCACGTGTCTCCTAACTGAGTGGCAAAGTGAGCGCTTTCTTCGTCCACGGTTGGTCTAACACGGCCCTGGGTGATGGTCAGAAAGTTTTAGCACTCCATCTGCTCTGGTTGCGGAGTTACGTTAAATTTCACGTGTGCACACGTGTTAGTACGTAAGATGCAGAAGAGCTGACAAGTAATTTACTTTCACGGACACAACAGTGGGCGACAAGTGACGCTGCAGAATTGCAACTCCCTGCAGCTTATTGATCACCTTAAATTTGAAGTTGGCATGATGCCAGTTTAAACTTCAACGTGTGCGTACGTGAGTCCTGAGGGTGCGTGAAGGCTGAATTTGAAATCATTGGATTAGGCGCGGCCAAGGAACAACTCTGTGAAGTTTCAGCCTCCTAGCATGGGCCGTTCCAGAAAACGTTTTCCCGCCAAAAAAACTTTCACGTGCCCCTACGTGAGAACCACGTGGACCTGAGCGTTGATTTTGGGGATACGAGCCCGCACATATGTGTAGATTAAGTCACCAAATTTTCAGCCTTGTAGCTTTTGTGGATCTCGAGATGAAAACTCCTTACAGACGCACACACAGAAACACATACACACACACACACACACACACAGACAACCCCTCGGCAATATGTGTTTTTGCATTGCATACTCATAAAAATCTTGTGGGTTTCTAAATCATCACTTTAATGTTAGCATGCTAGAATTTGCACGTGAGTACCATTTCGAACTGTTACCGAGTGCTAGAGGAAAAAGAATAAAATTTCAGAAGATTGTATTTGATCGGAAGGAACTAACTTATAGACAACGCCTTGTTCAGCACTATTCTGTTTCTCGATTAGCATTTGAAGTGTTTGAGGAAGTTGTTAAGGAAGCGGACATAGGCTATTTTAGCAATTTATTGTCCAGTTCATTTCGAATACTAAGTGAGAGAAATATGAGTGCAGACAATCGCATATCGCTCAACAATGTACATTGCCCATTAATCACTTCACAGTTCTTTCAAGCCGAATTTGATCCCTTTCAAGAACTTCCAGGCTTATAAAGTTGTCAAGATAAACCATCCTAAAATAAATCTAAAACTCTTAGGTGAAAATTTGAGAGTTTAAACTCAAGATAAAATGGCAACAAAGCAAAAGTATTATTACAAAAAAAAGAAGCTCTGCATTAGAACCTCAATATCCTTAGTACATCTATTTATTTATTTTTTTCATTTCAGACCATCCAAAAGCATTTTAGCCCTTTTATCTGAAGTCAGATTTACTCTGGCACCCTAGATCAACCTGGATGCTGCATTTGGCTTAGCTAAATTTAACATCTTGTGCCACTAAATTATCCATCTTTCCTGTCGTGACTATATTGGCCACAGTACGATAGCTGCATTGATTTGTTACTACGAAAAAGGCATCAGAAAACAAAGTATATTTGAATGAACGTTACAAAGACTCCCAAAAAAGGAAAAAAGTTATATTAGAAAAATGTTTGCAAAACACCTGTAAGTTCAAAGTAAGACTTTGTCAAAATAATTTATAGAACAATGAAAAACGCACTTTACAAGATAAAACCAACCAAAAAATGAGCGAAAATAGAGAAAAAAACCAAATTTTCATGAATTTAATTAAAAACACTTGCTCAGTGCGCTGGAGTCTTGATATTATATCAGAAAAATTCGCTCGCAATATTAACTTCAAATGACAAATTTTACCTAGCGCCAAATTTTGTGAAACAAAAGCTTTTAATTACGTTTTCAAGTTGAACCCAACACTTCTTCCATTTACTATGTGTAACCAGGCACTGATAACATCTTCAGGTGCATTTGACCAATGTTGCACCCTCTGGCAGTCAGACCAGTGGCAACACTGTCTTCGTCTCCTGTGGGGACTGCTAGCCCAGGGGATTCTCGGTCAGGGAAATATGGTAAGGTGATAGCCGATTCAGGATTAACAGTGTGTGCTGAGCGTTTCAGTTTATATTATAAAGAATTTTCTGGAAGTTGTTACTTGATTTATTTTTGAAATAGCTACGTGAAAATTTCTGGCTTGCGCCCGAGTTTTTGCGACAACTATAGCTGAATCTCGAGTTTTTTTTTGGAGTGGAGGGGGAAAAACCCCTCAGCGGATTCGGGCATAGAGCAGTGCGCTTTTTGCAAGCAGCACTTCGCACAATTCTCTCGGGTTGGCGAAGATTAACTAGATTAAGGCACCGTGTCCGTACGCTCATAGGTGTCTAAGGCATTTGCATTTCTAATATCTGCATCATAAACTCCCGGCACTAAAACAAAGTGAATTTGCAGGATTGAATATTTTATATTAATTTGGGGCCGAGTAACACCGCTACTTCTCATAGTGCTTGATAAGTTTGCGGGTACCACGATGAAGAATCTGAAGAATCTGTTTGCGGTCGAGTGCCCCATGAGTAGAAAATAAGCTAGAAGAGAAATGACTGCATGTACTTATTTTCCGCCCCACCAGCGTAACTCAGTTTTCCTCAGTAGAAGTGAGATACAAGCTCCAGAACAGCAAATTGTGACCACACCTTTCGCAAATCCAGAATACGTAGTGAAAAGAGTTGTGCACGAGTCTACAGGGTCGCACGAATCAGCTGAAGTGTAATTATTTTCTGAAATCTTGTACAGAAGCGTCAGTGAATAGAAAGAACTAATGTGGGTACTGGATCAAGTCGACTCACACAGATAGTTTACTGAACAACATAGTGAAGAGATGTTAGAAGAATGAATTATTAAAGAAATTGACAGCAGTGACTGAAAGAGCTGAAACTGTGAGCTTGGAACAAACTTTCATCTTGAGCTCTGTATTGAAAATAGGCTTACTTGCATAGATGAGAACACGCAAAGAGTTCAAAACTGT